AAGTACAACTGAGTACCCAAATCTTAGTTTCCAAATACCATTCTCTGCTAAAAGGAGGCAGGACTCCTTGGAGACCCTACTTATTGTAGCCTGGAAAGTACAAATGAGCCTGGAATATTTTGTTGAGCCAGAAAGTAAAACTGTTCAAAGAAGAACAGAGACCTGTTTAAAGCACACAAGACAAGCAGTAATATTAGGATGAAGTCTAACCAATACCATCTTTTTTGGTGGTGCTGAGGATTGAACCCTTGGCCTTGTGTATGTGAGGCAAGCACTCCACGAAGCTATATCCCCAGCCCCAGAGCATCTTCAACAATCACAAAGCAACATCATCAGTACTGGAACAAATTTAAATCATGCCACCTGATAGGATGCCATTAAATCAACATCCCTGTCAAATACGTATAGCCAGTATCTAATCATAATGAAATGTCACACAATCCTAAACTGAAGGACATTCCACAAAATAACTGACCTGTATTCTTTAAAAGTATCAGGGTCACATTGTAAACATGTGGAACTATTCCACAGTAAATAAGATTAAAATGACAAGTAAAAATACAATGCATAATTCTGAACTGGATCCTTTTCCCATAAGAACATCATTGGGACCATTGACTGGTAAACTTGAATGGGACAGTGAGGATTATAATAATTTATCAATATTAATTTTCTGATTCTGATTGTTGTATTAGGATACATACTGAAGTATTCAGGAATAAAACATTCATGTCTTACCCCTAAAGACTTCAGGGAAAAAAATGTATTTGAATTGTTCTTGTAGCTTTTAAGTTTAAAAAAAAAAAAAAAAATTGTGAGGAATTGCGGGGGGAGTACCAGGGATTAAATGCTCAGGGGTACACAACCACTGAGCCACATCCCCAGCACTATTTTGTATTTTATGTAGAGATAGGGTCTTGCTGAGTTGCTTAGGGCCTCGCTGAGTTGCTGAGGCTGGCTTCAAATCCTTGATCCTCCTGACTCAGTCGCCTCAGCCACTGGGATTACAGGCATGTGCCCGCCACTGCACCCTACTTAAGAAACAATTTTGAGCTATTTAAGCCACTCAGAGCAAAAGGAGAAAGTTCTACATTATTCTTTTACAATAATTATATATTGTACCAAAAAGACAAAAAAGCTAATCTCACAATTCTTGAAGCAAAAGTCTTAAGTAAAATATAAGCAAACAGAATCTAATAGCACACAATATAGCTCAAGGGTAGAACATTTGCTTAAAATGCACAAGGCCCTGAGTTCAATCCCCAGTGAACCAAAAACAAAACAAAAAAAGCACACAAATATCATAATTCATGTAAGGCTTATTCTATGAAAGAATGGTTCAAAATTGGGTAATCAACATAATTATATTAAAAGGAAAATTACATGATCATTTTCCATATTTGCTGGGTATTTAATAAGTTTCAACCTCAATCTTGAAGAGAAATTAACAAAATGAAAGTACTGGGGATTGAACCGGAGGGACACTTTACTACTGAGCTACATCCCCAGCCCCTCATTTTATTTTTTAAGACAGGGTCTAAGTTACCCAGGCTGGCCTTAAATTTGAGATCCTCCTGCCTCAGGTTCCTAAGTTGCTGGAATTCCTTAATAGGCCTTGTGCATGTGAGGCAAACACATTAAGGAATAGATATCTCCCTGCTACTATCTCTGTCCAATGAGAAGCCGAGAAGAAATAATACCCTAGCAGAAACAAGTACAACTGAGTACCCAAATGTTGAGGACAAGATATTGATGTATTGAAAGGGGTCAATCAAAACAATTAGGTAAGAGAAATGCATTAGAGGTTTAAGAATCTAAAAGAGGTAAAACTGCCTCTATTTGAGATATGATTTCTAGATATATGATGATCTGAAAATTAAAATGAAAAGTAAGAACATTCAATAAAATAGTTGGAGAAATAATTTATATAAATACTATCATGTCATGTATGCAGACATCAGTTTATTAAAAATTACAATGGTAACAAGAGTAAATAATGCCCAGAAATTAATGTGCATGTTCAAAATCAAGATAAGGGAAAATGTGAACATTCTTTTTAAAGATGCTATTGCTGATTACTTCTGAAGGAATGTGATGAGGCGAATTCTGGGTATGCCAAAAGATGCTACATGCTGCAGCCTTGAGCTAACATTGCTGCTGGAAATTGCATAAGAAGTACTACTAGAAACAAAAAATCCAAGAAAGACCCTTCTCCTCTACATTCCCTAAATACTGGCAGAATCTTAACAGAAATCCAGCTAGCAAGAGTTTGGAGAATGAGGGGTGCAAAGCCTAAGACCCAAGCAACAGAGAGCAGAGTTTAAGAGGGTAAAATTCTGAGTTCCTAGACATTAGCTTTATAGCCCAATCTACTCTTCTGGCTATTTAACATGTACATTTGCAATTCCATAAAATAACTATTTCAAGCCATCATTTACTAGGATGGAACTATCCTTTATACAGATGAAAATACTTTTGCTCCAGCAGCACAAATTTTCTGGCATGAGGTACTTGTTTGGGAATACATGGATAGATTGTATGCAGATTGAGTAACACAGTAACTACTTAGAGGTATATGGGCTGGCCATGTAGCTCAGTGGTAGAGCACTTGCCTACCATGCACAAGGGCCTGGGTTCAATCCCTAGCACTGCAAAAAACTGGAATAAAGAACAAACATACAGAATGAACATCTCAGGTTTGACACCAAGGATAAAACAGGAAGCAACTCAGATGAAGATGGCAAAAGGGAAAGGCAATGTAATGAGGAAAATTTGTAAACAAAACCAAAAACCCCTAAACTTCCCTAAAAATGCTAAATAGTTCTTATACCAAGTCCTCTTAAGTGCCTTTGCAGGGCAAAAAGCCAATCAGGCTTATACTTGTCCTCTAAATTGACAGGAGATTCAAAGAGCAGAGAAAATGAAAAAATGGAAAGAGCGGCTTGAGAAGAAGTATTATTCTACAGAAATTGAAGATGACTACCAGCCTGTCACTCAACAAGAATTTCAAGAGTAAGCATTTGTTTTAACCAGGATACTATCAGGCATCATGACATAGGGATTCAGGACATATGTCACATTATTTTTCTGAAGCTAGAACTTATCTTTTTTTAAAATTTTTCTACCCAGTTTTAAAATCAAAGCATGTGACTCTATTTACTTAAAATTGTTTTTATCCCTACATCTCTAAATGATAGAAACTGCCACAGATACTGTTTTCCATGCAGGTTTAGAATGTCAGAGCCACAATTAGCTACATAAGGCATGTTTAGCTCACCATACTATCTTCCTTGTCAGAGCAATTTACTCTAATAACCTGTGGTCTTTAAACACAAGGTGTATTACTGACTCATTCTCCACTAACTTCTAATTATCTTTTAGACTCTTTTTATACGCTGTGGAGCTGGAGAAGGAATTACACTATATCAGTTTAAAGCTAAACCGAGTGATGAGAAAGCTTTCAGCTCTACAAAAATAAGACAAGAGGTGAGTATCTGTGATGCAATCATAAGGTTACTTCTGACAGACTTACTCTGCTAGACGTGTGAATGCCCCTTGGGCCCCTTTTGCAGGTTTTGTGCAAGTTTATTTCCTAAACTTGCCCTAATTTCAGACACACTGAAAGCACTAAACTTTCAAATCACTGAATTATCCTCAGGGTTGTTTATAATAAATGATTTCCAGGAATTAAGTGCTACCAAATATGACCCACTACACAATCCATATATTACAACATGCCTGGCTCATGCATAAAATTTTTATGATGAGGTTTATTACTCAATTCTACAAATGTGAAGAGAAAGTGTAAAATAATGCTTATAGTTCATGGGTCAGGTCTCTTTTAACAGTTCAATATAAGTACAGGGAGAAAGACAGTTTTTCCCTTTCAAGCATATCACTATGTTCTGACTTTGTTGGGCCACAGATATATTAATAAAGGTTTAGACCATTATATTACTCCTAAGTGAAAAAAATTCTCCATTCTTCAGAATTTAAAGTATCCAGGCATAAGCCTAAGTACAGAAGAACAAACTTCCCAGACTAGAACAGAAATTTCACTGGTATCTATCTTCAAACTGGAAATTCACCTATACCAGGGTCATAAGAAGTCATGCTTGGGAAATGTAAATGATGCTGCAAGTGCCATGTTTCTATGGCTGGAAAACTGTGTATGACTGGTATTACATGAAATAGAGGGAAACTCTTATATCATTTAGCCATAGCACCCATCTTACACATCAGTGCTCAAAAGACCTTGAATTTTAAAACTTCAACCGAATAAAGGGATTTTAATTTTTTTTTTCCTTGTTTGTTTTTGAGGTAGGGTTGCTCTATGTTGCCTAGGCTAGCCTCCAACTCCTAGGCTCAAAGTAGCTAGTACTACAGGCACATCCCATCATGCCCAGAGAATAAAGGAATTTTATTTATTTCAAAGTAGCTAGCTAGTACTACAGGCATATGCCATCATGCCCAGAGAATAAAGGAATTTTATTTATTTTGCAGTAATGGGGAATGAACCCAGGGGTGCTGAGCCACATCCCCAGACATTTTTGTATTTTGTTTTGAGACAGGGTCTTGCTAAATTGCTGAGGATGGCCTCAAAACTGCAATCCTCCTGTCCAGACTCCTAAATAGCTGGGATAGGTATGTCCTACTCTGGAGACTGAGGCAGGAGGATTTCAAAGTTCAAGAAAGCTTGGGCAACTTATAGAGACCCTGTCTCAAAAAAAGGATGTGGATGTAACTTAAAGAGACTCACTATGCATTGAGTTTTCTTATTAGGATAATTCATTGCAATACACTATTCTGCAGCTTCTCCATAGATTTCCCAAGGAAAGCAATCAGTGGCCTTTCCCTGCCTTACACTCCCCATAATTAGTGTTCCCTGATGTGGTCCCTGGGTAAGGTAATTCTAACAAGACTAAGAACATTAAGGAAACATTTAAGATCTCAGCTTTTTTCTTTTTTACCACCTACTGGAAAAACACATTTACAATGACTTAGAACATTAAAGTTCTTTTATTACAAAAGTTTATACAATGAAGCGTCAGACACAGCAATGCAATTATACTGATAGACATATATATCTATATAATATTTGTATATAGATATACATATATATCTATATAATATTTGTATATAGATATACAGTGTTTATTTGTACCAAAGTAAAACTATCACAAATTGCCTAATTGTATCACCTACTGCTGCTCAACCATGACACACAATACTATCACATAGAGTAAGTGCTGCCATGCCACTTTTACCTATTTCTACTCAATAACCAACATCATGAAGCAGCTGTTAATTCTAAAATGAAACCAGTCAGGGCACCGACTTATAAAAATAATATGGTACTCACATAGATTTAGCATTATAAAGAAGGAATATATTATTTAAAACATTTAAATAGTGCATATGGACATTTTTGCATGTGGTATATAAAATAAAACATTCATAAAAAAACAATATACAGTGCACATAAATTAGATGTTAGACCCCTGTCTGGAACCTAAAGAAATTAACTGAAATGTACACTGCATAATGGATTCAAATAAAAGTGATACATCTTTTGGCATTTCAATTTTACCAGGAATACATTATGAATAATCTAGTTTCATCAAAAGGAAACACACAAAAAGGGCTGGATTTAGTGCTTTATTCCTCAACTACATGTTTACTACCACTGGATTTTTCCTCCCTCCCAAAAAAGGCATTGCACACACAAGTGAAATGTGAAATACTAGAAACACTATTATCAAGCTACTTCATGTGCTTACTATGTGATAGTGCTAAAAGTTTGAGGTTCATGCTTCCCTCACCTTATTAAAGGATGTTGTAAAGTTCCAATTTTGTATAAAACAAATTTTTAATATAAGCTAGTTAAGAAAACCATGCATGAGTCAAGGCATGCAAAACATGGGCACAAAATGAGATACTCATCAATCCAAATAAGCACCAGGAAAAAAAATTAACACTTAGATTAGTCTGACACAAATCTGCTATTGTATATTTTTTAACAAAAATGATATCACCATTCCATGAAAATGATTAGCCATGCAAAGCAAGAGAAATAAGACATGCTAAGAGCATATGACAAGGGGCATACCACCACATATCTTGTAAACGGCTGCTTTAAACAGCATTTTTTCCTCATTTAAACAATTGAGGAAAAGGTGGTTTCTATTTTTAGAGAATGTTTTTCCTATGGATTTTGCTGATTTAAAAAAAAAAAAAAAAAAAAAAAAATGTAGCCCCTTGAAGGTAAATGCAGTGGTATAGCCCTTGTTAAGAACAGATTTACTTAGGCATAATGATTATTTTGCCAATTTAGGCCCATTTGATTAAACATACAAATCTGAGCACCATCAGAGTTCCTACATACTGACATGGCTACTTTCTCACATTATCTGGAGGTGGGTGGGGAGGGTAAGAGCACAGAATCCCATTCAAACAAATCACATCATCACCAGCTGATAAACACTAATTTAGGAACCAACAGTAACTTAAGTCCCATAGGCAGCATGTGATGTGTGGTATGTGTTCTCTAAGCAAGGTCACTTTTTGGTCTACCCACTGTTATCTTCATCCAAGAGCTGTGTGACCACTGAATTATAAAATTTTCTAACATACTACCTGTGAGGTGTCACTTTGGGAATTAAACAGAAACGTGTTCCACTGTAGGACTTAAAATTTCAGTTTGATTTTGGTTTTCTAGGAGAACAACACAGTTGCATATGTGCACTTGTATAGGCTTTTCTTTCAAATTTTCAGTCATTCTGTGAGAAAAAGGCAACCGAAGAATTCAGTGTGAAGATTTTCCTCTCAATTTTCTTCAGTAATGAAAAAAAAATTAGTAATAACAAAACACTCTGTATTTCCAAAGTTCTTGAAGTTGAAAGGATAAAATTCTAGTCTTTTGCTAACAGGATGTATCTGCAGTACAAAACAATGAAAGAAGCTGCGTGTTTGCAAAAGGTGGAGAGGACAGTCTGTGGTTAGTATGGAATATCATACTCCCTAGAGAGGGCCTACTTACCCTTGCATTATTTGTTTAGTGGCATCACAATCAAGTACAAAATGAGATTCTCTGAGTGCCTGACAAAATGAACTCAAGTACCAGCCAAGTACACATGATGACAGCTTCAAGGAATACAAGTGACTTTATGATGTGAATTTTCAAGGAGCATAGTTTATATGGATTTTGAAGAATCCTGTTTGCTGATAAGAACTTCAAGAAGCCTAAGTTTTGCTTTGATTTTCTTGTATTCCCTATATTCCTCAAGCACTGGAACACGATCCTCCTTCTGGGCATTCCTAAGGAAGAAAATCACTAATTATATATTCAAATAAAAAGTTGCTCTGCAAGAAAAAGGGTTATTGGACTAATTCGCTCATTCCCAAAGAACATTCCTAAAATACTTCTATTTTTTATGGATTGTTCTGCTAACAGATTAAAAAATGCTAGACTTCTTTTATCAATGATCAATATTTCACAAAACATTGTCCACTAAACTCTGCCAGATAGGTCTGTGTCTAGTGTTAGAAAACCACCCAGAGTCATTTCATATATTTAGTTAAAACAAAACAAAACAAAAATTTAGTTAACTGTGCCTGCACAGTTTACTAACTTTATATTATGAGCCAATGCAATTTGGTTTGATCATCAGCTAAAATGTGGTATCATCCCAACCATAATTATAAGCAAAATTTTCTTCTTCTGATAATATAGAGAAGTAGAAGGTACCTGGAAAATGCATTCCTGCACTTCAGATTTTCTTAGTCTTTTGTATAGGTTGGTATACATGATTATCTTAATTCCCAGAATTAAACACATTTTGGAATTTGTAATGGAGCTACTATTGGGAAAAGCATTTCTGAATTGAATATATTTTTCTCATTTTAAAAGACTCCTCTAGGAGCCAGCCATGGTGGTGATCTCCTGTAACTGAGGCTGAGGCAGGTGAATCACAAGTTTGAGGCCAGTTTGGGCAAGTTAGTAAGATTCTGTCTCAAAATTTAAAAAAGGGCTGGAGATGTACTCAGTGGTAGAGCACTTGCCTAGCGGGTGCGAGACCCTGAGTTTCAGCCCCAATCCTGCCCCCACCCCTGGAAAAACTAAACACAAAAAACACAAAACAAAAAAATCTTCGATCAAGTATACATATTTGTTAGATAAAGGCACATGCCTGCCACATCTTAGAAACTAGCAGCCTGGAATGACCCAACATGTAGCCTGAAAACAATGTTATCAGTATAAAAATTTTGAGAATCCAAACTAGTTGAGAATACCATTCCTATTAGGGGACCCTTATTAAAAAGAAAAACATCTCATTTCACAACCATTTCCTAAAGGGTAAGAATGTAGAATAAAGACAAAAATCACTATAGCTCTGTGGTGTAGTGTTTCCCAAGAAAGTGCAAGGGTTTGATCTCCAGCACTACACACACACCACTGCAATTCAAACCAGACTCCTGAGGACAACCCTAATATTTTTCTTTTCTTTTCTTTTTTTTTTTTTTTTTTGGTATTGGGGATGGAACTTAGGGACATTTAACCACTAAGCCACATCCTGAGCTTTTTTTTTTTTTTCCTTTCTAATTCTTATTTTGACACAAGGTCTTGCTAAGTTGCTGAAGCTGGCCTTGAATTTTACTCTCCTGCTTCAGCCTCCTGAGTTGCTGGGATTATTGGCACATGCCACTGTGCACAGTGAAATATTTTATCTAATGTTGTTTCTTCCAGCTCTGAATTTCCTTGCAATTAATAATAGCAGGGCTTCAGAGCACTGAAAAATGTTATACAACTTAATTTTCAATAATGCTAACATCTCATAAGCAAAATTTATCTATAATTCTATGTATTCCACTATTTTAACATATGGACATTTTGTGAGTTAACAGAGAAAGATAACAGTATTATGACACTTGACAAACCTTCCATTTTTTTGATAAAATGCCTCTTCAAATTCCCGTAATGTTTTACGGAGTTTCTTTTTTTCAGCTCTGGCTTTCCAAAGTTGTTCCAGTAATTCAGGCCTAAAATTGAAATGAAAAGAAAACATTAAAAGGGCACAGAGGTGATTCATTATGTTCCTTAACAGTAGTTCTAGCCCTGGCTAAAAATTAAAATCATACTAATGCCTTACTCCATCTCCAGACCAATTAAATTAGAATAGCTGAAAGGCCTTATTAGTATTAGTACTTAAAACAAAAACAAAATTTAATAATTGATTGTGATGTGAACTCAGGGTTAAGAACATCTTCACTTTGCTGTACTCATTTCTTGGGGTAATAAAGAAGAAACTAAAGGAAAACTTCAGATGGTTTGCATGCTTTGTTATATAACAAATATAAGATTTTACTTTAAATTTTTTTTGAAACACACTATTTTGGGCAGTGGGGGGTGGTCACTTTACCATGTGGCTATAACCCCAGCCCTCATGATTTTAAGAGAGTCTTTCTAATTTGCCCAGGCTGGCCTCAAACCTGTGCTCCTCTTGCCTCAGCCTCTTAAGTCACTGAGATTATAGGAGTGTGCCATCATGCCCCGCTGAAACACACCATATTTAATAAAAGAAAATGGAAATGACAACATGTACTTGTAAATCACTTTTTAAAGGGTGTATCTAGCTTGTGGTTAATTCTTAATTAATCACTTGTATTAATCCCTTGTAAGTGCTCAAATTATTTTACAAAAAATTCTCAATATTATACACATAGGCTAAAATCAAACTAGACTACATACATAGAAGCTGCACGAGTACTTGACAAACGGAGATCCAGAGCCAGTTTTTCTTGATTTTCTTCAACATCAGATTCTGAATTTTCCAATGAAGTCTGTGCATGTACAGCTGTTTTCAAGATATCACTTAACTCAGAGGATAGACTAACACCATCTTCTTCTTCTTCCTAAAACGATATCCAAACAGAGAATCAAACAGGCTATGGCTTTCAACTTTCCCTTTAGGAAATCAATTAAAGAATGAGTTCTTTAAAGGATTACCTTGATTTCTTCAAAAAAATGTGCAGTTTCTCCTTCTATGATTGGCTGTAACATCTGACCCCTTCGCTTGGTGGAGGGAGATCCCTATAACAATCAGTAATACAGATTTTTTTTTTTAGTTATATATGGACACAATATCTTTATTTTTTTTATTTTTATGTGGTGCTGAGATTGAACCCAGTGCATTGCACGTGCCAAGCAGGCGCTCTACCACTAAGCCATAACCCCAGTCTCAATAATACAGTTTTAAAGTATTTAGTGAAGCTTCACTTCATTATGGTACAAATATTAAACTTTATTTTCAAAATCTTAAGTGTATACTTTTAATATTTTTAGAGGTTCTTAATTTTTGCTTACATTTTTCTTTTTATTTATGCATAAGGGTGATAATTATATTTAGAAAAGTCTAAAAGAGTTCATTCAATAGTGTTTTACTATTCTAAACAAGTAAGTGTCACGTATATTTTAACTGGTTGCAATTTTATTTTTAAAAATAGCTGTCAAACATACTATAGTGACGTAGTCACATCAATGTTTATAGCAATTCAAAATAGCTAACTATGGAACCAACCTATGTGCCCTTCAACAGATGAATGGATAAAGAAACTATGGTATATATACACAATGGAATATTACTCACCTTAAAGAAGAATGAAATTATGGCATTTGCTGGTAAATTGATGGAACTGGAGAATATCATGCTAAGTGAAATAAACCAATTTCAAAGAACCAAAGGCCAAAGGTTTTCTCTGATATGTGGATGCTAATTCACAATGGGGGGGAATAGAGGTATTTGGAACTAGATAGGGAGTGAAGGGAGGGAATGGGGTATGGGGAAAGGAATGATAGAATGAATCAGATATTATTACCATATGTGCATGTATGATTATAGGACCTGTGAAATTCTACGTCATGTACAACCAGATGAATGAGAAGTTACACTCCATTTATATATGAGGTGCTGAAATGCATTGTCATGTGTAACTAATTAGAATAAAAAAAATTAAAAAACAAATAGCTGTCAAATATTTTTTGTCCCAAGAATGTTCTTCACTCAAAAAAATGAGCTGGGGTTGTAGCTCAGTGGTAAAGCACTTGCCTAGCAACACATAAAAATAAATAAATTAAATAAAGGTATTGTGTCCACTACAACTAAAATAATACATTAAAAAAAACCCAACTTTATTAAAATAATTATTAAATCATATCATAACATTAATTCTTTAAAAATGGATAGTTCCATCACCACTAATTCCAGAACATTTCATCACTGCAAAAGAAACCCACTAGATTTTACTCATTTGCCTTGCCCCATAACCCTTTGTAAATACTAATCTACATTTTGTCTTTATGGGCTTGCCTATTCTTGAAATTTCATATAAATAGGATTATATAATATGGCCTTTTGTGTCTGGTTAATTTCACTCAGCATATTTTTATGGTTTGCACCCATGTATTTATATTTGTGTGTGTGTGTGTGTGTGTGTATATATATATATATAAAATATATGTATGTATGTATTTTATTCCTTTTTGCTGCATAATATTCTAGTGAATACTGGATATACCATATTTTATTTATCCATTTATCAGCTGACAGACATTTAGGCTATTATGAATAATACTGCTGTGAACACTTGTGTACAAGTGTTTTGTGGACATTTTCACATCTTTTGAGTATTTACTGAACAGTAGCTATACCATTTTACATTCCCACCCAGCAGTGATTCGATTTATCGAGATTCTCACCACAATACTGTTATCATCTTTTTCATTAATAGTCATACGAATGGGTGTGAAATGGCATCTCAAGGTAGTTTTATCTGCATTCCCTAATGACGTTCAATATCTTTTGTTTGCTCACAGGCCATTTATAAATGCTCTCTGGAGAAATGTCTGTTCAAACCTTTTTATTCTTGAATTTTTAAATATATTCTGGATATAAGTCCCTTATAGGATTTCTGAATATTTCTTGCATCCTATGGGCTTGTCTTTTCACAAGTGTTTGCACATAGTTTTTAACTTCGTTGTTGTTTGGCAGTACTGGGGGATGAAACCCAGAGCCTTGTGCATTCAAAGAAGGAATTCTACCACTGAACTATACCTCCAGCCCAGGGTTTTACTTTTGATGAAGTCAAATTCATTTTTTTGTTTTGTTGCTTACGTTTTTGGTATTGTATCTTAAAAACAAACAAATAAAACCCTAACCCAAGGTCCAAAGATTCACTCATGTTTTCTAAGAGTTCTTTAGTTTCAGCTTTTACATTTAGATCTATAATCCATTTATAAGATAAGGTCCCAATACTCTCCACCTCACCCACAGTGCTAAGGATGGAACTCAGGGGTACTTTACCTCTGAGCTACATCCTCAGTCCTTTATTTTGAGACAGAGTCTCACTTAGTTACTGACATAATCATATACACAAAATGCTAACAAATGTGCCTGCCAAATAATCCTAGGCTCTTCTTATTAGTTTCCTATCCTTTTAAAATCAGTAATCTCAACTTACTATTCTTTCTACCTTGGTTATAAATTTCTTCAATATACCACCCAAAATAAATTTTTTTAGATAAGTACATCTTGAGAAAATGAACTAGAGAAATATTTGTTTGTTTTACTTACAAGAATGGGAGTGATGCTAGCTCTTGTCAGCATCTGTTTAACAAGCCGGTATCTATCATAGAGAGGTTTAACAATATGCCTTTCTTCCCTGGTCACCTGAAGCCAAAAATAAAAAGGAAGTCCCCTAGTCATCAGAAATAATTTTGTCCAAAACATTAAGCAATTTTATCTTCCTACCCCACATTGAAGATTTTATATTAAATAAGTTAGTTATCTCCCAATTATAAGAAATAAGGCTCTATAAAACAGCTCTGTAGAATGGAAGCCTCAAAAGTGATTCATGCTCTATAGGTGCAGGTACTGATTTCTTCAACAGAAGTTCAAAAACAAACAAACAAACAAACAAATAAATAAAGTTTTAAAAATTAATCAAGAGCCAGGCTACAGAATGGAAGAAAATCTTTGCCAGCTGCTTCTCTGCCAGGGGATTAATATCCAGAACTGAGGGCTGGGGTTGTGGCTCAGTGGTAGAACACTTGTCTAGTATGTGTGAGGCACTGGGTTCAATTTTCAGCACCACATAAAACTAAATAAATAAAATAAAGGTCCATCAACAAATAAATTAAAAAAAAAAAAAAATCCAGAACTGAAAAAATTTAATGCAACCAGGGAAATGCAAATAAAACTACACAAAGATACCATCTGAATGTCAATTATCCAAGAACATAAATAATAATAAATGCTTGTGAGGATGTGGGAGGAAAAATATACATTGTTAGTGGGACTGCAAATCAGGAATGGAACGTCCATATGACCCAGCTATCACACTTCTTGGTATTTATCCAAAAGAACTAAAATCAGCATAGTATAGTAATACAGCTACTTGAATGTTTATAGCAGCACAATTCACCACAGCCAAATTATGAAATTAGTCCAGATGCCTGTCAACAGATGAATGGATCAAGAAAAGGTGGTATATGTATACAAATGGAGTTTTACTCAGCCACAAAGAAGAATGAAATTATGGCATTTGCCAGCAAATGGATAGAAATGGAGAATATAATGATAAATAAGCCAGACTCAGAAAATCAAGGGTTGAATGTGTTTTTTTTTTCCCCATATGTGGAAACTAGAGAAAAATAAGGGAAAGAAGGTGGAAGTGGTGATAGACATCATAAATATATAGGGAAGATCATGCAGTAGGAGGAAATCAAAAGAGAGGGAGGGAGGAGGGAAAATGGAAAGAAAAATAACAAAACCGTGTTATATATGTATATATAAATGTGCCACAGGGAATTTCACCTTTATGTGTATGTAGAAAAGTATCAATCAAAAATAAATAAATGAGAGAAAGGAAGATCGGTAGAGGAAGGAGAATAGGAGGGAGGAGAGGAGAGGAAACAGGGACTGAAATCAAATTCTATGCATTTTATCAAAACAAACCCAACTACTATATAATGTCATAATACTCTAATAAAAACATAAAAAATAAAAGTGATCCAAGCTCTTATATAAATCAAGTTTTTTATCAAGAGAAACATTACCGGCCTTCCATGTTGACTTTCATAGTAAAGAAGACTTTTCTGGAGAGAAGTTTTTTCTTCTATCAAATGATCTTTTGTCATTTTCTAGAATTAGGAGGGAAAAAAATCCATTGGCATCATTATTATTTTCCTTACTTCTAACAATGTAAGTTAATTAAGCTGAAAGGGCAGGCTATCACCAGTCTAACATAGGCTAATGCAATCTTTGCTTATTCATTTGCAGGCAACATTTTTTGTCCTGAAGAATCTGGTATTCTAATACATAGGTGGCAACTCCTTTGATAACTTGATTTATATTTTATTTGAATAAATTACGAATACTGGCTTGGGTACATTACTTAACCTCTTCAGGTTTAATATACCAATATGTATAAAATGAGAACACTTCATTCTACCTCAAAGAATTCAAATAAGGACATTAATATATGTAAAACATTTATAACATTCCTACCCAACACACAGCAGGCATATATAAATGCTTCTTATTTTACTTAACCTTACAGTCTTTTATTAGCAGTAAGACTAGTGGATGCAGACACACTCTCACATACATACACAGGTTTTACAATCCAATCTGTCTATATATCCTTTTAAAGAAAATCCTGCAGCAGTATAGTGGAAAGATCCTAAAAGAAATTCAACAATGTTAATTTGTAACCTTAGACTTTACCCTGACCTCAGTTTCTCTTCCAATTGAGATGGTGCATTCTTTACACTGCAATACCCTCATCATACCTTTCAGTATGGTATAAGGTAGAATAAGCAGAACTCCACAGAGCGTTTCCCTTTGTTTCATAGGATCACATATTATCACTTCTTTTTTTATTTTAATTTTTTATTTGTTTTAATTAGTTATACATGACAGTAGAATGCATTTATAAACTTTGATATACAGAGATGGGATATATACATATTATCATTTCAATGAACCAATGTTCCAGAATACTCTCCAACTATACCAAATAAAACCTACTTATTTCCATAATTAGTCAATACTATCCGTCTTTTACTACAGTGAAATCAGAGATAGAAAAAAAATCACTGGGCTGGGGTAGAATGCTTGCATGCTTGCCTAATGTGCAAGTACCTGAGTTCAATCCAGTACTTTTTAAAAACAACAACAAAACATGTTTATCAATCTGTAGGTATCAAGTAGGCCAGTTGGACTACTCAGGTATCTTAATCATGTTATGGTAATTGCTTTGTTTCAGGGATTCTAAAGTCCAGCCTGAACAAAAATCATGGTTAACATTACCTTGATATCTTCTGGAAGACACCTCTCAACACGTTTTTCTTTCAGTCTCTTCAGAATAAGTTCAAGGGTTGCTTCCTTAGATGACTTCTTCTCCTTCTGAATAACTCTGGATTCATCATCATTCTCTTCATCTTCATGGTCTAAAGAAGAGCCAAAACTTTTTGGAAGAGTGTTACTACGTGGGCGTGTCTGAGGTACAAATTCTCCATCACAGCTTTTGTGTTTTGCATCTGTATTTCAGAAACAAGAGGAAAGATTAACAATTGATTTTATCAAGTATACAATAATAGCAATATTTCAAAGTAACAAAGTAATCAAATTATATGTACAGCAAGAAAGCTTTCTATTCTATCAAAATTCATAGAAAGTCTACAACAGAAGACACTCTAATACACAGTAGTAAACAAAAGAGATTCGTCCTTGTTCTCATGGAGCATATGTAAATATGCAGGGAAGGAAAAACAATAATCAAATAATCAGATTAATAAATGAAATAACTTCAAAAAAAAGCTAAGTGCTATAAAGAAGATATAACAGGACAGAATCACAGTACTAAAAGTAGTGTGCTTTGTGGAGGAGCAATTACACTAGATAAGATCGACAAAGAAGGCTTTTTTGAATGGTCTCATTCCAGTTAAATATGGAATGATAAGGAAATAATGTAGCATAGAAGGTTTAGAGGAAAAACATTCACCCCCAATTGAGAAAGTAGCCCATGCAGCTTTACATGTCGGAGGCCCTTCAGTTTTACATGTCTGAGGAACAGAAAATGAGAGTTGTCTTGTCTGCCAGAGTGTGCAAGCCATTGAAAGTCATGGTAAAGATTTGGACTCAGAAAAATTCTAAATGGAAAGGGAAACCCACTGAAATTTTAAGTCTTCTTGAGTCATAAACTAGGCCTTACATTTATGGATATCAGCCCAGTGTTAACAAGGGAGTAACATGATTTATTTTTTAGATATTTGTTTTCATCATTGATGGACCTTAATTTTGTTTATTTGTATGCAGTGCTGAGAATTGAACCCAGTGCCTCACGCATGCTAGGCAATCACTCTACACTGAGCTACAACCCCAGTATATATACAGGTTCTACTGAATTGCTATCATTTTTGCATGATTTTTTAATAGATAATTTTGGCTGCTATGCAGAGGATGTACTATAGAACAGTTAAGAAAAAAACTGGGAAACTAGGAAGCTAATGCCTATTAATTTAATAATGACTACTGGTGGTTGGAAACCAGAATTTAAACAAGGCAATGCTCTGCAGAACTGTAGGTAGCGAGGAAGTAATCTTCTAAAAAAAAAAAAAAAAGTTTGGTTTTGTTTTTGAATTAGAGCTTTATTATTACACACAGTAGCTGGATTCATCCCAACAAACTCATACATGCATGGAAATTGATTTCAGTTCATGAAATCCTCTTTTTTTAATGAAATAATAAAATGAGGTTATTTTTTATTCATGGGTGTATAAAATGAGGAGAGATGTAGAACAGTTTATGAATGAAGCTATACATCAGATGACAATAATTGGGTATTCTTGGTACTTCACTTAACATGGAGGCAATCCAATGTAAATGCCTAATACACATTTTTTTTCATTTTTAAAATTTATATATAACAGCAGAATACATTATGCATGAAATCCTCTTTTAAGAGAAAGTATCTTAAACCAAAGAATAAAAAATTCCATGATAGTAGGGATGATGTTTGAGTACTTGATACTTATGAGCTATTAAGAATTTCACCAAATAAGTTCAAATGAATAAATCAAAACAGTGATCCAAATTATAAGCTATACTTGGCACAGGTAATGGTTAAAAATCATTAAAAAACATATTCACTAAACACAGAATAAATATACCTTAACAACAGCTTATGCTAGGCAGACAACCAGAAATACAAGGCCTAGTTTATGAGTCAAGAAGACTTACAATTTAGTCTTTACAGTGTCAACAATTCACTAAGACTATATCCCCTACCCATTACTGGGATCAAACCTAAGGCCTCCCACATGCTAGGCAAGTGCTCCATCACTGTAACTATATACCCCAGTCCCTGACTAGCTAGTCTTTTAGTCTTTAGATAAAATATATACCAAAAAATTTTAATACCTTCAAAAACCCAAACTACTAATTTCTACAATATATTTCAGATAAATTGTATTGCACCAGTTCACCTATGTGTGTGTGTGTGTGTGTGTGTGTATATATATATATATATATATATGCAGGGTACCTTTCAAAAGAATACTAATAAAAAAACATTCTACCACTGAGTTGTGGCTCAGTGGTTGAGTGTTTATCTACCACATGTGAGGCACTGGGTTTGATTCTCAGCACTACATATAAATGAATAAATAAAGGTCCATTGACAACTAAAAAAAAAATACTAATAAAAACAACAATAACAAAAAACTTTTTGTTGGTACTGTAGATGGATCCCAGGGATGCTTTACTACTAAGCCATATATATATCCAACCCTTCTTATTTTGTATTTTTGAGACAGGGTCTTGCTAAGTTGCTCAGGCAGGCCTCCAACTTGCCTGCCTTAGCCCCTTGCTGGGATTATAGGCATGTGCCACTTCACCTAAAAAGAAAGGATATTTGACAGACTATGATAAAGTACTACAGAAATCCCATCTCTTAGTATGCAATTTTGACCTTAACTAAAAAAAAAGAAAAAAAGGACACCTATTTTTGCCAAAAGTCCCAAGATTTAAAAGTATCAAAAATCACAACTATAATTCTCACGCAAATTACACAGAACATTTTAAAACTGCAAATATATTATAAAACGGCATACTTATACCTTTAATTTGCTTCCGCAGTTTGGTAAGCTCTGTCATCCATTTTAATACCTTTGGATTGGCTGCAATATCACTATAGGAAGGCTGAAAATTAAGAAGCAGAATAATTGATATTTTTGTAGTAAGCAATAGTTTCATTAATTTGTGCCCACATAATATCTTATAGTTCTCACTGCAGATTTCATTCAATCCTCAATCCATATTTAATTAATTATACCTTAATTATACAGGGCAGAATATTAAGTAAAAATTCTCCCAGAACAGGGTTAGATAACTGGCTGAAGGCAGATTTGACAATGGGTCTCCATCTTTAAATATAAGACTCTTTCTACTTCACATGTTCTAATTATTAAAACATGTTCTTTTTCCTTTTCTTCCTTCACTTCTTCAGCAGCTCTTATCTTGGAACTTGTAACTTTTACACAGAGCAGAAATAACAGCATCATTTTTAAAAGTAAAGAATTTGCTTTAAAAATTTTAAAAGCTGTTTTACAAAGGGAAATAGAGACAAAGTTGCAATGGCAAGAATACTGACCTAGAAATCAAAAGGCCAAGGATCTTTTTGCTTTCAGATCTATATAATTACTTTTTTGGTGTGTGTGGCAGCACCAGGTAGTGGACCCAAGGCCTTTGCACATGCTAGACAAGCATTGAGCTATATCCCCAGTTCTTTTTTTAAAAAAAGAATTTAAGACAGGGTTTCACTTAGTTGCCCAGGCTGGCCTTAAGCTTGCAATCCTCCTGATTAAGCCTCCCAAGTACTACCATGTGCTACCATACCCAGTTTATATGGTCTCTATTTCTCTGGGCATCTCAGATTGTTCTCAGGAAAGAGCTGGACTGATGCTCTACAAGCCCTTTCTCCCAGTTCTAATATTAGAAAAAAAAAAACTCTTTTTTTTTTTTTTTTTTTTGTGTGTGTGTGTTACTGAAGATTAAACCCAGGGGTGCTTTCACTGAGCTACATGCACATTTTATTCTTTTGTTTTCCTTTTGAGACAGGGTCTCGCTAAATTGCTGATGCTGGCCTTACAACTTACAATCCTCCTGCCTCAGCTTCCTAAGTCACTGGGATTACAGGCATGTGCCACAGCACCCAATTAGATACAGCTTGGTCTGGGCAATGGTACAAACTTACCTTGCTATTTCTGTCTCTTTCAAACTGCTCCTCAAATTGTCTGATTTTTTTCTGAAGTTTCTTAACCAACTGGTAAGGTGTTCTGTCTTCTCTTTTTTCATCCTTTGAACTAAAGGATGATCTTCTAATCCTGAATTTAAATGACAGGCCAATAGTCTGTGTTAAATTTTCAACTGTCAACACAACTACTAGTAAGTATATCTTGAAAGTGAAGTTAAGTCCCTAATAGTAAAGAACAACTGGTTAAAAAAAAAAAAAAAACCTACAGTGTTACACACCACAAAATTAGTGAACACAGTGGTAGAATCATTTAAAACTTATTTGGACAAAGGCAGAAAATAAATAAAGAAACCTAGCAGCTTAGAGCTCTTGTAAGTGTTCAACTTGGGGGAAAAACAAGTTTTTGGCATTTACAATCAACTTTAAGTTTTAACAAAAATATTAGGGGAATCAGTTTCACTGACTGCTTCCCTTTCAATTCTGTATCACAGTCATGAATGAATAAAACAAACAAACACCATGGAAATGTCCATTTGAAAGCAAACTTCAAGCACCACACATACCTCAATGAATTTAGAATTCAACAGCAGGGCAAAACCTGCTTCAGGAAATGGGGATTATAGGGAGAAGGCTCTGACCTATAGGTATAGAAAACTAAATCTTTCAGAGGATCTGGGTACCTAATAGAAATCACCTCTTACAAATACATTAAAAAATCATATACCTAGTAAAAGAAAGTGCTTTAGATGAGGAATCCAGCATTTCTGGATCATGTAGGAAACGCTGGCTTTGTCCAAAATCTAAACTGCGGTGTGATAATACTGGAGGACCATCCTCTTCCATGGGATGGTGATTCATTCTTCCAGCTTGTGGAGACAGCTGAGCTTCTCCAGACTCAGAATCCTCCTGCCAAGACTTAAAAGCAGGAAATGGTTCTGTAAAACATAAAGAACAGTAGGATGGGTCTCTTGAGTCCATATGGGGGAAAAGTCACAAAATGTAATCTATAGGTTCTTTAAATTGTATCATTGTGTAGTGTTTCAAATATCTATTACACATGTTTTTTAATGAAACAAGAGATATGAGGATCTTCATGATGCCAACTAAAGTTTAAAATTATCCAAGATTTAGCTCAGTTTTCTCTTTTCACAAAAGGAGCTAAAGCTTAAATTACTGAACCCAGTGGCAAAACAAGAAAGGACACTGTCAAGCTCTCTAAAATTTAATTCTAATTTGGTGTGATCCCAGCTACTTGAGGCAAGAAGGATTCCAAATTCAAAGGAGATCTAGGAAAGTAAGCAATACTCTGTCTCAAAAAGGGCTGGGGATGTAGCTCAGTGGTGGAAAGCTTGCATAGGGGAAGTCCTGGGTTTGATTCCCATGAAGGGAGGGAGGGAGGGAAGGAGGGAGAGAAGGAGAGAAAGGAAAGGAAAAGAATGGAAGAGACATTATTTAATATAATTCTAAATATTCTAAACATAAGGAAAAATATTATTTTTCAAGTAAAGAAAAAAGTCTTATTTCGAAACAGTGACTACCCAACAGTCCTTAGTTAGGAACATAAAGTAAAAGTCAAATGCTGCCAGGTGTAAGATTTGTCCATTATTATCAAGAGGCTATGTTAAGATGTGGAAGCTTTTCCCTATGCTACTCAGAAATGGAGTTACTCTGACTCCATAAGAATTCTTCTCCTTTTTTTTTTAAAGTTGTTGATGGATAATTATTTCATTCAATTATTTATATATGGTGCTAGAATTGAACCCACTGCCTCACACATGTGAGGCAAGAACTTCTACCACTGAGCCACAACCCCAGCCCAAATTCTAACATTTCTAAAAGAGGAGCTAAGTCACCTGTCAGCATCTGGTCTCTTAACATGAAACTGTAGTGGTTATCGTTTATTATAGGATTCCTATGTATAACATGTACTTTATTAAACACCCACAAGAGCATCATAAAGAAAAAACTTAACAGTGCTAGTCCTTTATAAGCACATATATCTTATTGTAGTTACCCTGAATGCTCTCAAAAGAAACCATATAACTGGTATCTTTGCACACATAGAACATATAAAAATCATACACATAATCCACAAATATAACCCAAATAAAAAAAATAAAATGAATTTTAATATCAATGAACTCGGGCAAAAAAAAATTAAAAAAAAAAATACTTTGCCACTACACATTTGCATTACTTGTAACTAATAATTCTTTTAATTGGGGAAAGAGGTCACTGGGGATTGACACAGGGGCACTTTACCACTGAGCTACATCCCCGTTTGTTTTTTTTTTGTTGTTTTTTTCAGACAGGGTCTTGTTGGGTTGCTTAGGGCCTCACTAAGTTGCTGAGGCTAGCCTTGAACTTGTGATCCTCCTACCTCAGCCTCCTGAGTTGCTGGGATTATAGGCGTGTGCCACCATGCCTAGACTGTAACTAAAATTTAAAACCTTGATGCTATGGCTATTAATAATGGGAAAAAAAAAAAAAAAAGGAAAGATGGCTCAACAGTGTCAAACTTCAAAAGTCATTTTTTCTTTGTTCTTCACAATAGTTAATATCACTACTATAATAATTTTGTTTAATTTTATGCATTAGCTATGTAAAGCACTGCCTGTTTTACAGGGTAGTAAGAACAAAACTTAAGTCTTTTTTGAAACCCAAATCAATCTCATAAGTAAAAATTGGGTACAGAGCGTGCAATCCCACAATAAACCCAGCAATAAAGTGATTTCAAAGCAACCCTTGTACCTGTGTCCCAGAAATTAATAAACTTATAATAAATGTTTTATGAGAAATCTGTTTTAAGGAAAGAAAGAAATAACAAAAACAATTCTTTGGTATCAGTTTTAATCCAAACAATTATTCCTAAGATTTGGGGACAGCAGGAGAAGGGCTAAAAAAGACAAACAGAGTGAACCATAAAAAGGCAAGAAAACTAAACTATGGTGAACCATACTTACCCTCCCCATCTCTCTGCAGATGCATTGTTTTGAAATCAATGAGGGGAAAAGTGATAGGGCATGACGCTAATAAAATGGAAAAAATGGCAAAAAATACTAAAGTGAACACACGGCACAGTCAGAACAAACCATACACATAACACAAAGCCAAAGATACCAAAAACATTTCCCTAAAACTAGTTAGGCATTTTGCTCAAAAACTATTCAAAAAAATTACTATTAACCAAACTTTAACAAATGCAAACATACATTTCCATTTCAGCAAGCAAGGCAAAAATAAAAGGAAAAAAAAAAAGAAAAGTGTTTTTTGTTTTTTTTTAACTCTTAAATCAGTGACACTGAAAAGCTTCAAACAGTATTAGTTGAGATTCAGTGTCACTGATTTAACAGAAAATAAAATCCCACTTTCAAAAGATTCCACTATTATGTTTCATTCCAGAATTAGGAGAAAATGGTTCACCTCCATTGAAAGATAAGTCTTTTTAAATAGCTGTTACAAATTCATACTGTTAGTAATAATGTGCTGCTACCTGTTTGCTGTGTTCTGCTGGTAATCCTTTAAGAAAAACAAAAACCACATACTAGAGAATGAGGTGGGGGCCTCTATTTGGAGTCATTCCCACTTCTCTCCTAGAAGCCACATCAAACAAAATGTCTTTAATTCCGAAGTCTGAAGTAATCTGTTCTCTTAAGGAAGACATTTTATTTAGAATATCATGACACCTAACTGTGAAAAGTCAATGTTCTTATTAGTGGCAAAGCTTGAAGGAACAATACAGTCTCCCAAGCACATGTGTGGCCATCAAGTACACTCAGCTGTCTACTACCATTGACTTTCTAAAGATCATTGGCCCCTCTTTTTGGAATAGTCAGTGGGAGACAGATATAAACTTGTCATGACCATTGAATCATATGGGTAAGAGAATATCTTGCACACTGAAAATCAGGGATCAGTAGTCCATAGGTAACCTCCTTTCCCTACAATAAGATATAGGGGTTGGCTAGTGGCTTGGGAGGCTGAGGCAAGAGGCTCTTGAGTTCAAAGATAGCCTCAGCAACTTAAGTGGTTGGATTCAGACATTGTGGGGTGGGGGACAGTCCAGCATCAGATTCTCTTTGGAGGAGCTTTCAGAAAGCTGAAGAGACAGAGAATGCCCAATCTCTCAGACAATGGAAAACAATTACTCATCTATTCTTAAAATTTAGAATTAGGACTTCCCCCCGCCAGGTCAAACATCATAAATGGCTATTTATCTGCATCTTCTAAGAGAAAGAAGCAAAAATACTTTTTTAGAATCCAAATGCTCTGTTAATTACTGCTCCTTTTCAATGATTATGCCTCAATAAATAACTAAAAAGGACATTTAATCTTCACTGTCATCAGTATGCTAACATATCCTCTAACTCTGGGGAGTATCTTCATAAATTCCAGAAATCCCGAATAATCCAGAACAACCTGACAATCAAATGACAACTTCTTGATTAGTCAGTTAAGACTTATGTCTTGGGCAGGCCAAAAACCTAGATCTAAAAAGGAGGGAAGGAGAATAGAAATAAAGATTGGTACAGACAATGTTTTGGTTAGAGCTTTAAAAAAACACCTAGACCTTAGCCAGGTGTGGAGGTACACACCTATAACCCTGGTGACTCAGGAGGCTGAGGGAGGAGAATCCCAAGTTTAAGGCCAGCCTCAGCAACTTAGCAAGGAGGCCCCCAAGTAACTTAGTGAGTAACTGCCTCAAAAGAAAAGGCTGGGGATGTAGCTCAATGGTAGAGTGCTCCTGGGTTCAATCTCCAGTACCCCTCCCCGCCCCCAAAAAAATACACCCAGACTTCACACACGCATGTGCATGCGCACGTGTACACATTCCTAAGATCAGGGGAACAGATTTACAGTGGCAAGAGGAGCCGAAAGCATTGGCACTGTAATTCCTCTTGTTGTTACCACTGTATATCATCAGATAACTTGCCAAAGGTGAGATAACTCAGGAATCTTCAATCTGACTGAACAATATGTAACTAGGCTTAAGATTCCTGAATTGGGGATTGGGGTTGTAGCTCAGCAGTAGAGCGCTCGCCTAGCACGTGTGAGGCCCTGGGTTCTATCCTCAGCACCACATAAAAACAAACAAACAAACAAACAAATAAATAAATAAAAATAAAGATATGGTGCCCAACTACAACAAATAAATAAATAAATAAATAAATATTCCTGTATTGTCTCATTCTCTTTACCTAGGAAAGCATATGATACAGAAAGGCTCCTAGATACAAATTTGTTGCTCATTTCCTACCTCCTCCAACATTTTACTTCAAAGTGCACAAAAATACAACAAGTGGGTTATGAACTCCCATTTTTACCCCGTATACAGATTGCAGAATCACATCGGTTACACATCCACGTTTTTACATATTGCCATACTAGTGACTGTTGTATTCTGCTATCTTTCCTATCCTCTTCTAACCCACTTGAATCAAATGTAGGAAATATGATATGTCAAGAGCTTTGTAATATTTTGAACAACCAATAAAAAAAAAACTTATGACACACACACACAAAAAAATACAACAAAGTTAAATTTTACAATAGCCACTCATATACTAATCACCTAGATTCTATCATTAACATTTTACTACATTTGCTTCACAACATTTACCCATCTCATTTAGTTGTAGTTGTAGTTGGACACAACACCTTTATTCCACTTATTTATTTTTCTTTATTTGGTGCTGAGGATCAAACCCAGAGTCTCGCACATGCTAGGCGAGCGCTCTATCACTGAGCCACAACCCCACCCCAATCATCTTTTTTTAATGGATTTCAAAGTAAACTGGAGATATTGGTATACATCCCCATAAAAAGTTCAGTAGGCAAATCATTCACCGAAGTCAGTATTTGTTTGGTTTCTTATTCTTAATGTAAAAATAAAACTTTACATATAATGAAATGCAAAAATCTTAAGTGTACATTTGCTAAGTTTTGAGAAATGCATACACCCATGTTGCTTGCTTGTTAAACTTCTTTTCTTTGTGCAAATTGTTAGCCTCCACCCTCATCATACTTTCATTACCTGATAGAGACAGGGATATGATACAATATTTGGTTATACATGCCCTTGAAGATCATTTTAAAGTATTCCTGATAATCATTAAAAAAGGAAGCTAAATGCTCTGTGTTCAAACTGAGAAAGTCCTCAAGTGCTAACACCAGGTTTTCAAAGATTAAAGATAGCATCTGGTTTAACAATTTTAGAAAGCCTATTCTGGGTGATTTTATTTTAAAAATAAATTCTAACATCCATATTCAAAGCTAATGGATCAGACAAATTCTAATTCATTAAGTCAGTTGCCCCATAATCTCATTAGTATATCTAAGTAAAATGTACTCAACTCACATGAAACAGAAAACGAAAGATTAAAATGAATAAAACTGTCCAGAAAAGGGCAGTGATCTCATTACTTCCTTGGGTTATCTGAGTTACAAATAATAGTATCGATAATAATAATAATAATGATGTATGTGGGTAAAGTTACCTTCCCATTTGTCACCATCAGAAACATTCTTCAGATCTAAATGTGGAATTTGAACACTTGTTGCTTCCCCTTGAACACCAATACTTTGACCTCCTGGCACTTCTGATTCAGTGTTGGCATTTAAATCACATATCTTGCTACTACAATCCTGTATTTTAAAATAAAGAATATATTTCACAACCATGAAGTTTTCCATTCCCAGCTTAAAGATAACCAGCGCATATCCTTATGTCTTTATTAGTCTACTATGCTTAAACAGTTAATTGTTCTACACCTACTATCCAAACTATTTTCAAACATAAACTTGCAATTACAATGTCTCATTGGGAAACAAAGTTTGGAACTCAAATTCAAGAAAGTATTTTCATATAAGCAATCCCAAAAAACCAATGGCTGAATGTGCAGATGCTGACTCACAATAGGCAGGGTGGAGGGTGTGGTAGGAGTGGAGGTTCACCAGATTGGACAGAGGAGTATGGGGGGAAGGGAGGAGAGATGGGAATGGGAAAGACAGTAGAATGAATCGGACATAACTTTTCTGTATTCGTATATGAATACATGACCAGTGAAAATCCACATCATATACAACCATACGAATGGGAAGTTATATTCCATGTATGTATGATATGTTAAACTACATTCTATTGTCATGTATACTAAAAAAATAAAAAATTGAATTTAACACACACACACACACACACACACACAAAAAGTATTTTCAAGGGTGTAGTAGTACACACCTATAATCCTAGCTACTTGGGAAGGTAAGGTAGGAGGATCCTAAGTTCAAGGCCAGCCTCAACAACATAGTGAGGCGCTATTTCAAAATGAAAAATAAAAAGGAGGGGATGGCCAGGCATGATGGCACACAGCTTTAATCCCAGGAGCTCGGGAGGCTGAGGCAGGAGGATCATGAGTTCGAAGCCAACCTCAGCAACTTAATGAGGCCCTTAGTAACTTAGCAAGACTCTGTCTCTAAATAAAATACAAAATAGGGCTGGAGATGTGGCTTAGTGGTTAAGTGCCCCTGAGTTGAAACCCCCGGTACCAAAAAAAAGGATTGGGATGCAGTTCAGTGGTAAAGCACTTGGTTAACCTCTGCGCCCCCCTCCCCCCCCAAAAAAAACTGTTTTCATAACCAAGAATCTTATAACTAAAACTCGCAAATAAGTTACCACTTAACTACAAACATTTGATAAAAGTATTTATATTTACATCTCTTTTAAACCTATCCAATACAAGAATTAAAGGCCAGATGTAACTGGCATATAAAATCCTAGCAATTTGGGAAGCTGAGAGATTGTAGGATCACAAGTTCAAGGCCAGCCTCAGCAGCTTTTTTAGACCTTGTCTCAAAAAAAGGAAACGAATGGGGATAGAGCTAATTGGTACAGTACCCCTGGGTTCAACCCTCAGAAATATAAAGCAAACGAATAACAATAATGAGAACATTTAACCTTGGCAATTATAAGAACCATAAGATAAAAATATTTCTTACCAGAATCAAGTGTGACAATTTATCACTGTCAAATAACAAATATTCTTTCCTAAAAATATAAGTAAAGTTATTAGTATATTAAGAATAAAAAGGTTATTATTATTACATATTTCTTACCTAGATTCCTCTCTTCCCCAATTTAATTAGCATTTAAAATGTGAGAGGAGAAAATGACCATTGGGCAAATGCCCATTCTTTGGAGCCCTATATCTGAAAATCACACAATACTGAAAAGATCCACAGAATCACTTCAGATTTAGAAAAATTAAGTAATGCTCCCCACTTCCCTGTCAACACATGAAACCATCCCCCAAAAAAACTTTTTACAGAAGGGAAATTAAAATCCACAATAAATAGAAACAAACAAACAAACAAAAAAGCATAATGGTATTTTGTAAAATAAATATTAGTTTTAACCAAATAAATAGCTTTATTCTCTCTACTTTGCGACTTCTAAAATTTTTTAAAAAGGTATAACTATAACTATGTTCTTTACCTTAAATCTGTTTCTATCACAAGGTTATATTGTAATCAAAGGTTACTAGTTCTAAAATGCTCCCTCCTCTAAATATAAGAGTAGAATAAAAAAAGGAAATTTTTAAAATTTTCAGATCACATTTATTCCCCCAGAAAAACTCACCCCTATTAAGAACAGGTGTTAACAACAAGCTGTCACAAATGATTTCTACCTATTCAACCAGTCAACAGAGCATTTGCTATTATGCAGTAGGTTATCAATATGCCTACTTTGGGAAACTTCTTTTCCCAAAAAACACTTGTAAAAATTTACAATACAAGCAAGTGCCAGTTCTAACTTGATCTAAATATGGCAAGTCATCTCCTCAGATACATAATCATCTCATTCTTGCTGAGTGTAAGAAATGAATTAAATTCCCTGAAAAGCTCAAGGCCTTGCTTTGCTTAGGTAGGATGAGTAGATTCTACGACTAGCTGACCCTTGTTTAATTTAATCCCTTAAATTTGAGAAACAAGAGTGTTAAACATGCAAAATGTAATCCACCTAAGCAAGGTACTCTTTGGATCTAAAAACAAGTTTGCTAACCTATACAAGTTGAAGAGGAAAGAACTTTTCCAAAAAGATTGAGTCCTCACTAAATGGATCCTTATTGTTCTATCAAATCCAGATGTCATCATTCTGGGGATGCCTGTAAATGCTGTTAATCTTAAATCTTCAGCCCATAACTCCAAAACTCCCTGGGCTGGAAGAGGATCATTCCTGCCTCCTGAAAGGAAGCACAAGGAACTGCTGTAAGCAGAAAATCTGTGGACCTTCAGAGTATGGGGACGCTCCAGAGACATGGCTCCAAAGAATTTACTTACCTTCAGAGAATAGGTTTCCTATTCACAATTACGAGACAATGGTATTAACACAAGTTACCCTGGCCAACAGGCTATCAGCAAATTAGTAATGCTGTTTTGGATTTCCAATTATTTAGAATCTAGTTTGCAACTTCATTACTGATATGTTTTCTGTATATCAAATCATCTTTCCTAAGAAAGTTATTATGCACTTCTTGGCATATCTGAAAGAATGATGCAAAGAGACCCAAATCCTTTTCAGTGCCTTGAAACACTCTAGAAAGCTTTAACTCAAAGGGATTCTATCTACCAAAACTCTACATCTGGTTGACATCTCATTGCCTCAGGCATTGCTTGCTCTATTATAGCTGGTCAAAGAGATGAACAAGTACCATTGCTTAAGTACCATTCTTGGAACACACCAAGAATGAGTTCAAAGAGGAAGTGAAATATTCTGTACATTATCCGTAGAAGCCAATATGTTATAATCTTTTGGTTAGTTAGCCCCAGCTGCAAGATCATGAATTAACTCACTGACAGTTATACTCTAAGTATCAATAAATTCCCAATTGTTCTATAAATCACTTACAAGTTTTAGATGTCTCCAAGAAGGCTGCGTTCTTCCCACTGAATGTTTTCCAAGTTATAACTAATGTTTGTCTGAAGTTGTTGGAACTCCTGAATATTTGGACATTTAATGTTTTATCCCTACTACTAAATCAAGAAGCTTGAATTTCTTTTAGATTTCCTAAACTGTATGTCATAAAGTATAGATTAATCTAAATACTGCACCCAAATATCTGCGAAGAGCTATAAATATAAAAATGATTTATTAGTTAAAAACAAGAGAAATATTTACCTCTCAAGATGGCCTTCCTCACTATCACCATGGTCACTGCATGGCTCTAATAGTATACCTACAGACTGGAAAAAAGAATACCACCACTGTATTAACGGAGCTCCCAAAACTCATATATGAGAGAAAGTGGCCAATGAAATTAAGATACTAGATTATGGGTTAGTCATAACAACAACCCTCTTTAGCTATCATTTAAAATAACAACCTGTGGGAACTGGCATTTCTTTGTACAGACAGTAACTTATCATCCCTCAAAATCTGAATCATATTAAGCATAGTAGGAATCCTGCATTTCTTAGGTACCACCAATATTATTATTCTCCTGCAAAAAATAGTGGCCTTTCTGAGTTTTCTTGTCTACTACTGTTTGCTTTGTTTTTCCTTAGTCACAAACCAAAGTTGGTGAATTCCTACAGGAAAAAGAAGAGTCCTGGAGAACTTCACCAGATTCCTTTATCATGTGCATATGAAATAAAAACTGCTTTCCACTCAGGGTGCTCCTCAGACACAGGAAACACCTCCCCCCAACACACACATACCATTTTCCAATGAGCTTAGTTATACCACCATCATCATAATTCCCCCACAAATTTAAAAACCTCCCAAGTCTAATGCAAATACCCTGAGCATTACTATAAGGTATATTAAATTTTTGGTATTTTTGATGATCATCTCTAAAATCAACAAAATTTTAATTTTCTTCTCAGATTCTTTAAAAACTACCACTTGTCCAGTTTTGTTTAGTGTGAAATGAAGTGCACAATTATCTGAAAAAAGCTAATCAATTACTTTTTCCCTTTTCTAACTAATTATCTCCACAAAGCTGAACTGTCTCAAATAATCTATAGCAGCAGACTGAAAATAGAAGCAAAAGTGAGAATTGAGGTGTCTTCTAAGTCAGACAGGCATTAATATTTGCAAACATAAAACAATACAACTCTTTAAACTACAAAATTTTTATGAATAGTTGTTTATTAAGAAAAAAGTGGCTGGGCATGGTGGTATGTGTCTGTAGTTCCAGCTACAAAGGAGGCTAAGGCAGCAGGAGAGCTTGAGACCAAATTTCAAGGCGAGCCTGAGCAATAGAGTAGGAAAAAAAGGTGGGAAGAAGGAAAGAAAAAGCAACCTTATTTATATTTTATTATAATGCTTAATTAATATTTTTAAAGTTTTTTGTTTTTATTTCTAATATGGTAAATACTGATAGATATACCTATGTAAATAAAAGCTCTTTGGGATCCCCATAATTTTTAATAGTAAAGGGGCCCCAAGACCCAAAGTGTGAGTACTGATGTAAAAATTGTACTTCAAGCAACCTTTAAGCTCTAGAACACAGCCTTACATTCTGAAGGTTTCTAGGCACATTAAAAAAAGAATTACCCAATATTTAAAATATTACCCTGAATAAATGCTTAAAATGAGCCTTAGTATCTATTTTTTTTAAAGTTTCTTTTTTTTTTTGGTAGTTGTAGATGGACAGAATGCCTTTATTTTATTTGTTTATTTTTATGTGGTGCTGAGGATCGAACCCAGTGCCTCACGCATGCTAGGAAAGAGTTCTGCCACTGAGCTACAACCCTAGCCCCAGAGCCTTGATATCTTACTCAAAGAACCAAACTCAAATTCCAGTTCTAACTTCCTCATCACAAATATGAGAATAATAATTAATGTCTACCTTAGAGTTATTATGAGTGAAGCAAAAGAAATAGCTTATACTAAAATCAATAAATTATATTAAAAAGTCATACTATTCCATTGCCAATCCTGTAATTTTTTTATCATGAAATAATTGAAACAAAATACAAAGATCAATATTAATATATACATATGCTGTAGTCAGCTTTAGACTAATATTAATTAATATCCACATATGCTGCAGTTAGCTTTAGGCAACATAATTCTTAAATTTGCTTTTCAAATAGTGAAAATCAGTAAACAAAAAGGCAATTGGAGGCAATGTAAAAGATAAAGTAATAATGACCAAAAAAAAAAAAAAAAAAGATAAAGTGACAGAAGTAAAAGCTGAATGCCCAGCAGTGAAGGAAGTAGAATGAAATGAAAAACCAGGTGCCAAACTGCACTGTACATTATGCCTCAGGGTAAAGAAATTAAAGTCAGATCATAATATAGTCAGAGTTCAATTATAGACAACGAAATATATACTTTCTTTAAATATTAGTAAAAATGTATGTTTCATCACATTTATTTCCTCAGAATTCATTAAAGATTAAATATTCATTCATATGTGGGTAGAGAAGAGCTTGGTCATTTGCTAAAATATTAGCTGGCAAAATAACTCATATCTCCCTCCCCATTGTGCCTTTCCACAGACATCAGAGTCCTCAAATGGAAGGAAGCTACTCTGGTCTCAAAGTAAGCTAGAGAGCTTTTGTGGTAAGCAATGATAATAGTAGGAGCAGTTGCCCCACAGACATAATACCAACATCTTAGGGGCTGTCAGTGTTTACTGCCAGGAACTAATTAAGGCCTGGTTAGCATTTCCAGAAACTGTTCTCTACCTATTCCTTAGCCATCAATAACTGGTGCTTCCACATTGCTTAGTTTTGCTTTCTCCCATCTCCACTTACCTAGCTCTGCTCAAGCATGCTAGTTACTTCTTTTTAAATAGGTTAAAAATTTCTCAATCCACTCTGTGCATTTAATATGTTTTCATATATAATAAACTGCATACTAAGATAGTTCAATCTAGTCCACTTTCTTTCTTCCTTTTTAAGTTATTGATAGATCTTTATTTATTTACACGTGGTGCTGAGATTCGAACCCAGTGCCTCACACATGCCAGGCAAGTATACTACGGCTGAGCCACAGCTTCAGCCCTAGTCCACTTTCTTTTACTGAGTTAATATAATCAAAACTGATGCGGTCCCATTATAGTAAAGTCAAATGACAGCCATTTCTTCCTCTTGGCTGCCTGCTAGTTTCCCCCAAAAACTTATGGCCTCCACTTCAGAAATGAGGTAACTCCATTTTAGCAGTTTCTATTTGCAATACATGAATAATTTCAATCTTTAGGGAGTACCACAAATGAATGTACTCTGAAATAGATGAGTTTTATGGACGTTTACTGATAAATCCAGATATTCTAAAGTGCCCTCTGATCAAACTACTGATCTTCACACAGTTGCAAATCCCTAAAACAGCCCAAATGACTATACAACTTGCTGCATCTACTAAAAATCTATAGAGACAAATTTCACAAGAAAATCTGAAAAAAATACTGATTTGTAAAACACGTATCTTTTGAGGGGAGGGGAAGTGGGACTTGAACCCAGGGGTGCTGTACTTCTAAGCTAAATCCCAGCCCTTTTAAAAAATGTTTCTTTTGAAACAGGTCTAAGTTGCGTGGGCAAACTTGGAATTTCTCTTCTTCCTGCCTCAGCCTCCTGAGTGGCTATACCAGCGTACCTAACTTATAACTTATTATGGGCTGGCATTATGGCTCAGCGGTAAAGCCCTCGCCTAGCATGTGCGAGGCCCTGGGTTAGATCCTCAGCACCACATAAAAATAAGGATATTTTGTTCAACTACAACTAAAAAATAAATATTTAAAACTAAAATAAAATAAAAGACATATCTAACATGTTACCCAAAATATATAAGGAACTCAAACTCAACAATAAGAAAACAGCCTAATTTAAAAATGAGCAAAACACACCAAAGAAAATATACACATGGTAAATAAACACATGAAACACATCATTAGGGAATTCAAAATTCAAACAATAATGTACCACTATACACCTACCAGAATAGCCAAAATCCAAAACACTTATAACAACATCCAGTGTGGCAAGGATGTATAGTTCTCATTTGTGCTGGAAAATGAATGAGAAACTCATTCAAATTTATGTAGGCATTTAGATTATACTATGGGTGGCATTCAAATCGATGGGGAAAAGATAGGTAATTCAAAAAATTTATGTGTTAACTAAGTAAACATCTAGAAAAAAGTAGAATTCACTCTATATCTTACACCATAATAAATTTCAAAGGAGTTAAATATTTCAATGCAAAAAATAAAGCCACAGAAGTATTTTTTTTTAAAAAAGAACTTTTCAACTATGACATAAAACCTAAAGGGGAAAAAAACAAACAAACAAACAAACAACAACAACAAAAAAAAAACAGATAAAATTGACACTGCCAAAAATGAACTTCAGCACTCAAAAGACAACAAATTTAAAATGTTTAGATTACCACAAAAAAGGGAATATTTCCTTAATAAATAAAGTGCCTGTAAATCAAAAAGGGACAATCCAACCATCCAACAGAAGAATGTCAAAAGTATACAGGCAACTAAAAGTAAAAAAAAAAAAAAAAAAGACGCTGAAGCTGTGTGCAGTGGCGTACACCTGTAAATCCCAGCAGCTTGGGAAGCTGAGACAGGAGGATCAAGGGTTCAAAGCCAGCCTCAGGAAAAGTGAGGCACTTAGCAACTCAGTGAGACCCTGTCTCTAAATAAAATACAAAATAGAGCTGGGGATGTTGCTCAGTGGTCTAGTGCCCTTGAGTTCAATCCCCATTACCCACCCACTCCCTCAAAAAAATAGGCATTGACCATTTTTACAAAAATATCAATGGAGGGCCAGGGATTTAGCTCAATGGGAGAGCCACTTGCTTGGCAGGCACAAGGCCCAGAGTTTGATCAGCAACACTGCCCAAAAAAACATACAAAAATGTCAATGGAAACAAAAATCACAATTTACAATTTTCACTAACCAGACTGCAATAAAAAAAAGTCTGCCAAGGGCATAGTGAAATAGATACTAGTACACATTGCTAGTGACTGACAGTATAAACTTGGTTCAATGGAGGGCAATTTGGAAATACATAACAAAATTACAAATATATACAAATAAACTTAATTTTCCTATCTAAACAATATCCTTTTTTAATATTTTTTTTTAGTTGTAGTTGGATACAATATCTTTTAATGAATTAATTTATTTTTATGTGGTGCTGAGGATCGAACCCAGGCCTCGCCCATGCTAGGCGAGCATTTTACCGCTGAGCCACAACCCCAGCCCCTAAACAATATCTTTTC